AATTTCACGTTTGCCACTCAAATTAATTTATTCCATTTATAGTCACTCGAATTAGTTGAACAGTTCAAGTTCGGTCACTCTCTGTTAACCTCCGTTAACTTTAACTGACGTGGCGGTCAACTCTGACAGTTGACCGTTAAATGTGTGACGTGGCAAATAAAAAATAATTAAAAAATAAAAATTAAATTTTTAAAAATTACACATCATTATCACAAAAAATTATAATTATAAAAAATGAAAAAAAAAGGAAAAGCTCGTCAATCATCTTCCCCGCGCTCACATAGACATCGAACGCCTTCACCGTGTGGGCGTACTCCATCTCCGCGAATCGATCGAGCAGGCGGTCAGGACCTCAACTATCTCCATGTACAGAGCAAAGCTCTCTTTAACCACCTGCTGAAACGCCACCAGTACCAACCTGTTGGTCCTCCGGCGCGACTCTCTACCTTCCTCCGGTCTCGCTGAAGGAGCCGGTCTCAGCATGCTTGAAAGTGGAATTCGGATTCACTCCTTACAGCGAGAGGCTGAACGGGCGGATCGCGTTTCTCGGGCTGGCGGTGCTGCTGCTGCTGGAGCTGGTGACGGGGAAGAGCGTGCTCAGCTACAACACCCCGTCGATCGTCCTCGTCCTTGTGGAGACATGTCTATTTTTTTTTTCCTAATTGTGTAGAATGAAGTTGATGTTGTCGAGTGGAGAGTGAAGAGACTTAATTGACAAGGAGGAAGAAGCTTTCAATTAATCATGTTATTTATGTATATTTGTGATTTGCTTCAATTCTCTTGAGTTTTATAGATTAGTGTTGAACAATTTGTATAGTTAATTTGTGATTTGCTTGAATTTTCTAGAATGATGTTTTATACATGGATAATTTGTATTGAGATATAGATATTTGACTTTAATTTTGATAGGAACTTGTTATTGTAAATTTTTTACAAAAAAAAATCCGTGGGTACTCATGAAGCCGCGGATACCCATCGGGTTGGGTTGGGATTGAGTTTTTCAAACCCAGTGGGTTTTACCCTGGTTTTTTTTTCACGGATAAACCCATGGGTCTGGGTTTGGGTTTGGGAAAACACGACTCAACTCGACCCATTTCCATCCCTACTCACAACACAATTTGAGAGAACGTGCTCACAGAAGAAGCAGGGAGCCGTCGGATCGAGCACTAGATGTCGCGCACTCATGAATGAAGGTAGTGACAATTTGTATTACAAATGACACCAACGTCTAGGGGTGGAAGTTTGGTTTGCGGGTTGCGGGTAACCCGCAAACCGCACTAAACCGCACACTTTTTGGATACCCATACCCACAATTTGTGGATAGTGGATTGGGTGTGGGTAGCAAAATATTGATTTTTGTGGTTAGTGGTTAACCACTACCCACAACGGTTTACTCACAAAATCCACATTAACCACATTGATTATATTTATTTCTTCAAATACCGCGTACCCACATTAACCAAATTAGTTATATTAGTTTGTGAAACTTGGAAGACTAAGAATTAAAGTAGCTACCAAAATCAAATACGCACTTATTCTATAGATCACTTCTACTATGCTATATAGCATTGGTGCTTTAATGTACAACTTAAAGTTGTACCATAATATTAAATGTATAAGTTTAGGTTGTACCACAAAGCAATTTGTACCATTATGTTATGGTACAACTTTACAACTTGAAGTTGCACCATCACATAAAGGTACAAGTTCAAATTGTACCATAAAAGAATTTGTACAAAAAGTATAGGTACAATCTGAAGTTATACCATAACGTAAATGTACTCCACACTTTGGGTCTCAACCCTCACGTTTTTTTTATTTGGGGTGCAATTTAATGTGACTTCCTATAAGGTCACTCATCCTTGTTGTACTCCACACTGAGCATGTTTAACTTCAGAGTTCTCATAAGAACTCTTCCATTTCACCCCAAAACACTACAAGAAAATCTGGCTATAGAGTCATAGGTTATTTGGGTCTAAAAGCCAGTTATTTGTTTCTGTATATCTTTCGAAGCAAATAAATTATTTACATCGGACACCTCTGTCTCTAATTCTCTTTAGAAGCAAATATAGATGCAAATAATATATGCTTCTAATTAAGAAATCTGAATCAAATCTTTTTTATTGTAATTCGACATTAAAGAACATATATTTTCCTCTTCTTATTTGGTTTTAGAGAGAAATGTTTTTGTTCCTATTTCTAGTTTTATAGACAATTATAATGTTTCTAAAACACCTTGCCGAAACAAATATTTGCTTCATGAGCAAATACTTTTGCTTTTATTTCAACTTTCATAATTTTGATTAATATTTATTATTTTACCTTCAATGGTACAAATAAAATAAAATCCTAATTTTATTAATTACTTTTTAATACAATTATTCTTAAAATACATGAATACATTGCCCATAAAAACATAGATAGGAAAAGGAAAAATACATAAAGAATACATTTTGTCGTTGATAGTGATCGTTGTGCCAGCTCTACGGTAGCTAGGCCGACGCGACTCACGGCTTTCATCCTTATAAGTCACCGCCGATTCTGCTCGTTGTCCAGACCCGTTGTCCCTTGTTTCCCTCCGCCATTCTAAAATCCAACGCCGGCCTCTCCAGATCAAGTGAATCTCTGCCTAGATCCAAACCCTTATTCCCTCCAGATCGATCTCAGATCCAGACCCTTTTTCCGCGGCACCATAGTATTGGCCAACATAAAAAGTAGGGCTGGCTATTTGGTCCCGGACTGTTTGGTTTTACCCAAAACCGGACCGTATAACCCGGACCGGGACCGGACTGGGACCGGATAGCAAACAATACAATCTCATATTCGGGCTTAGATTTGAGGTAAAAAACCGGATAAAGACCGAATAAGAGACCCCCAACACCTAAAATCAAGATAAAATTGGGACCGGACCGGGTCAAGACCAGACTGGATCAAGACCGGACTGTATCCAATTCAATCTTTGGTCCTTATATTCTCGAAAAGACCGGACTGGGATCAGATCAATTTGATCCAATTTAACCGAAACGGACCGTATAGCCACCCCTAATAAAAAGACTCAATTCTCTCCAAAAACATCATCATTTAACTCAAATTAAATTAATAAAAAATTTACAAGGTGGCTAATTATAGGATTGTTCTTTGATCTCCTTCGTCGTCACTTCAATGGATCTCAGCACTTCAATGGATCACGTCCATCCAAGACGGAAGCTAAGTGACAGTCGGATAGATAACAACTAAGGAGTACGTAAAACAATTAATTAATTAATGGGTCTTTGAAGAATACAAAATTTTCTAATAATAACAGCAACAATATTGGACAGCGATCCATATATAGACATAGATATGGATCCCTCCGCAAATGAAACTCTTGCAATATTAATATTGTCTAACTCGTCGATGACATAGATATGGATCCATATATAGACATAGACAATTTGTCTCACTTCGATGTTGGGAAGCTATCGATCGAGCATCGAACGTAGTGTGATGAATATATATAGTCTTGCAATACTTGTGGGGCAATTCAAGTAGTATCTTAAACACTAAACAGCAATGGAAATGATGATCAATAAGGCTATCCTTTTTCTGCTCCTGGCTCTTGTGATTTGTGTTTCTGGGTCCATCAAGCCTTTGGATGCAGCTTCATGCGAGAACAATCAACGGATGATCACCACCAGAAAGCTGCTTCTTTCATCGGGTAAGCTAAGTCCCTTCACGAACTGTATATATGTCTCTTTATCGATCTCTCTCTGATCACTTGCTCTTTTTCGTTATGCTTCGGTTATATATTCAAGTCGGTTGGCCGTTTAGGGCCGTTTAGTCTTACATGACTGTCAATAATATAGCATCTAGTGCGGATTGGTGGGCAGTCACCGATTAGGCGATTACACCACTCGTCCCGTCGATCTTCAAATCACTAGTTATTAGAACAAAATGTTTTTTAAGATGGTCCGTCGATCGATATCAAAGTTTTGAATGCTTATGGTTTTGAATAATGATAAAACCAATGTTAACAATTGATTTAAATTTAACTAGGTGACGATGTCGCGTCTTATCGCGGGAGGAGATGACCTATCGACATGTATTATGTGACCCGTTATGGCGTTTTGTTAGTATTATTAGTTTAAAATTAATTTTTTGTTAGCAGTTTTGTTAATAATATTGACTTGACAATATGATATTGAATAAGAAAAGATATATGACAGTCAACATCCAATTTCAAATATTTTAAAATTTTGGGCTAATAAACTATATTTACCTAAACCCAAGTAGACCCATTGATTATGGGTAGGGCATGGGTGGCTTATATATGAGTTTGAAAGTTGCAGATGAGTTTGGGTAGGGTATGGATATTTACTTCCATAATCTAAATGTGTATGAGTTGGGTGTGGATACCCATTTATTCGAAGGTGTTTTAATTATACATACAGAAATTAGAACTATTTGTAGAACTTCAAAATTTTAGGTACCAAAATGTAGTAAAAACAATTAGGTACTAAAATGTATTGTTCCATCAATATTTTGATTTTTGAGGACTTGTATGCTAAAAAAATAAATTTAGGCTATAAATCTAAGATCTATTAAGTTTAGGTACCGAACTATAATTTGCATAGTCGAGGCTTAATTCCTTTTATGGTGATGTATTTAAGATGATAATTATTTACTTTTTTTTATAGAAAAATGAAAACTATTTATTTGATATGTGTAGGTACCTAGTCAAACATATAATTGTTGAAAATCTAGCCTGAGTGAAAAAGAAAAACTCTATAGAGAAGCAAAATGAATACAAACGGGAACTCACTAAAAATTTCACACCTTCAAATCTCATAGTGGACAGTGATGACTTTCTAATAAGTAATAGTCATATATCTTTATTTTTAATTGGACTCAACATTGAGATGAAAAAGTTAATGGTTCATGGTTCAATTACTAATTAGGGTTAGACGAAGAAGGCAAAGAAAGAAATACAGAAAGTGTTATGATTTTTATTACTGTTGATTTTTTAAAACATTGTTCTATTAAAATGTCATACAAAAACTTCGTACAGATCAATATCTTAACGTACTCGTATTATATTTTACTAAATATGTTGTCACATCACCTAATAGAATGCTCTTTTGAAAATGATAATTATTATTTCAAATGGATATCATACATGTTTTTTTAAGTAAAAATCTCATCAAAGACCAAAATGGTTGAATCTTCTCCTACAGTTGAGTGATACAATATCATGTATGGTACAAACTAAATTTATAATTTTATGTTACGTTGGATTGGATTCATGAATTGGTGGATTGGATTTATGGATTCAAGTGAAATGTAAACATTGGACCAATATGTAAATTTTAAAAATTGTAGGTACGAAAATCTCATAAATTTTAGATACTAAAACATAATTGTTCAATGATTTTGCTTTAAAATTAAATTTGGGGTATCAAAATGTAAAATATACATTATAATGACTAAATTGTAATTTAATTAAAATTTGGGGTATCAAAATGTAGTTATTTTGACAACAGTAACCTCACTTCACGTTTATATATAATAAAGTTATTAGAGTATGTGTAGCATGATGAGTATTAAGTAAAGTACAAGCAGTACTATTGTGTAATTTGTCATAGAGTTATACTCCTTTTAAGAGTCAAAGAAGTGAATATTTTTCTTATTAATGTTGGAGTTATTAAATAAATATGTCTTTGTACGATATATAGATTTTATGTGGTTCCAATAATATATAAGATACAACAGTTCTCACTGAATCGCGATTTACTAACAAAGGTAAGACGACTGATTTGTATAACTTTAAGTTTAGTGGGTGCAGTTTTGATCATCATTGAATGATGCAATTAAGTAAAAGATTCATTCTTATGTACACCACTCATTCTTTCGGCTCGATCGAGTATTCAAGTTATGATAATTTAGTCAATGACTTTATCGACATTAATTGGGTACTAAATTGAGTCGTCTATAACACCACCAACACCACATAAAGTCAACATCATTATAATGGGATCAACATAGTCCTTTTTTCTCTCTAAAAACGAGTTTAATTGATCCCATTATATATTGTGCTTAATGAACTATTACTAAATTTAAAGATTATAACAAGCAGAAATAAAGGATCGACATTGATGAATCTTGAAGAATATGATGTCATGTTGAGATACATATTTTTTTAACAGTGAGAATTATTTGTTGTACTAAAATTTGTGCTATTGTTGGTGTTGTAATTACTTATTCATTTGTAGTTTTCAATTTTTTTTTACTGAACTTGGACACAGAAACCCAAGCGCGACCAACAACAAGCAACGAATGTGGTATCGATGGTTATTGTTGTGATTACAATACTTTTCACTTATGTCTCCGTTGTTGCCAGCATAAAGAAACCATGGATAGTTCGTCGACGATTAATGAAATCACCGGTAGGTTGTTTTTAGGTGTGTTTGATTCAATATATTTAATAATGTTTCCTTATGTTGTTATGTTTTTATTTCACAGTAAAGAAATCTGCTAAGCAAGAGACGGCGGTTGACAAAACAACAGAGTCAAGAAATTAAATAAGAAGGAATATCATTAACAATAAATGGTGATTAATTACAAAATAAGTTATATTGGTTAAGTTTAAAGTTCTTGTATTTCGTGTTGGTTTTTTCTCATATATGTATGGTGCGAAGAAATGATCTTCAAGGACATTATGATAACTAGTCCTTGTGAAATCAAATCATATTATGTCCCTACTTTAAGTGACCTCAATATACTATATTTTCGATTGGTGTGAAATGCGTTTTGGTATCTTTTGAAACTTTCGAATTTTATTAATACGGGTATATCTTATTGAATACATTATTGTTTGATATAATTATGAAACAGTTGTATAAGGAATACATGTTGTGCTAATTAAATAATAAATATGCATAATTGTTTTTGAGATTTTATTCTATATTTACCCAAAAACACAAATGAGAAGGAGGAAATGGAGACTTAGGCTATCAATGGATCAATTAGGATAAGCTTCGATGATGGAGGACAAGCTTGGGATCTTAATGATTTTATATCGAGGGAACCCTCCTTCTTCCAAAATCTTCTTCCATTCAGACTCTGTTCTCTCTTTACCAGAAGTCTGCACCATCATGAGTAAATCCACCAACAAACCTGCATCGTCAAAAGGACTCTTCCCCTCTGGATCAATCACCATATCCACGATAATCAACTTTCCTGTCTTCTCCGGGATTGCTTTCTTACAGTTCTTCAAAATTCTCACGCAGTCTTCGTCGCTCCAGTTGTGCAGTATCCACTACAAATTAAAGCATAAGCAAAACAGACCAAAATGTGCATATATATATGATTCTTCGATGTTAACCTTATGTTTGCAGCATTGATCTCTATGGTATTTTTCCCGAAAATACCCACTATACCATACTTTGCAAAATATTTCCAAAAATACTTGATAGGGCTCGGTTTTCTTAGTTGATCAATTGTTGTTCTACAATGTAACCGCAGTTTCTTATTAATAAAGTTCACATACAAGGTTCCTAATATACTAGAGTTTAGAGCAGTTCGCTCTCCAGCGTCAAGTGAACTAGGTAGTAGTTCTCTTGACACTGCAGCGATCTACTCTTGATGAAGGGATTGGATCACGGTCGGCACAAGCGAACTAGATAGCGGGTTCGCTTGTACATGACAGTGAAACTTTCATGTCATCAAAAAATTCCGCTACGATCGGATAATCACACACAAAATTACGACTGCTAGATGTTTTGACCTAGATAATAATTAGGTGTAGCTAGATCGCAAGGATGTCTATCGAACCACCTAGGTTTTGGTGCAATTCATTTGGTTAAGCCACGATACACCAAGATTTGGCACAGTTCGCGCTTAACAACCGTGATCTACCCTTGATCGCCCCATACTCCAATGAAGATATCAATTCAGTTAGGTTTTACCTTCATCATGATGGCATCCGCAGCTGGAACGGACTCGAACATGTCCCCACCGACGTGCGTCACCCCATCGCACGGCGGCGCCGTCGCCACCACGTGCGGCAAATCGAAGTTGATCCCTCTCACGTGGGGAAACATCTTCACGATCTCCCCTACGTTCTCCCCGATCCCGCCCGCCACGTCAACCAGCGACCCGATCGACCCGAACCCGTGCCCGTCGTAATCCAGCACGGACATCGCCGGGGTCATCATCTTCGTCGCCGACGCCATCCCTTCGTTGAACAATCTATTAAACTCCGGCTGGCCGGACGCGAACTCGAAGATCCCGCGGCCGTGGGCCCTCTCGAACGCGTTCCCGCCTCCCCTCACGCAGTCGCCGAGGTAATGCCACGGTGTCACGGACAGAGGGTGGTTGTCGTACATCAACACCGGGGCCAGGCTGTTCAGCTCCTCGTCCGACGAGCCACGCACCAACCATTTGGAGACACGTGTCAGGCCGTAGCGCGGCTCGTGGTGGTGGTCGGATGACGTGAAGATGTTTTTGCGGACGAGGAGGCGCATGATGCGGACGAGGGTGGAGGCGTCGGCTGGGGAAGATGATGATTGGTCGATGGCGGAGAGTAGCTGGGACAGAGTGGCGGAGCCGCCGTGGGAGTGCATGATGTCGGGGAGGCGGAGGTCGACGGCGGCTTTGAGGGACATGGAGTCGGCGTAGGCCAGCATGTGTTGTAATAGCTCCGCCTGCCCGGTAAGAGACTCCATGTCGTCTTTCATGTTTTCCTGTACGTACTCTTTTTTATTTATGTGTGTTTCCGATGTGAACTCGTTAGTTCTACACATAATCAATTTATAGAAAGTGGTGCAATATGATATATATGCGGACTTGCATCGAGCATTTGGGCGCGCAGTGGGAAAAGGAGCATGCATGTTTGGTTGCTGTCAAAAACGGTGGCGGCAGCCGGAGACGGAAGGAGATTAATTTATCGTTGCCGCTTTTGATCTGTTCCCGTTCTCTGGTCTACGTTAAACAAAAAAATAGATACTGTGATGGACTGATGGCGCCGGACACGGAATAATTGAAAGAAGGAAAGATTTCTCTAATATGGCAGCTGGGTTTGAAACTTAAATTGGAGCATGCAGCAGTCGGTTTAGTACAACATTTGGACTGGCCAAAGTTCACATAGCCTGGTGGTAAGGAGACGGATTGGTGACCGAGAGGTGCTTGGTTCGATCCTCACCGTTGTTATGGTGTTCTCGGAGGCACCTTGCAATTTGCCCGGACTGTTGGTGGAGATCCGGAAGTTTGACCTAATTATGGCATATTAATCAAGGTGACGACCGTGGAGGGCCTACGGCTGCAAATGAGCTGAGCTGTTCGCGAGCGGCTCGGTGTTCGACTCGAGGAAAGCTCGTTCGAAACTCGGCTAGGTAATAAACGAGCCGAACATGAGCTAAACTTTCTTGGGCTCGTGAAGCTCACGAGCTAGCTCGACTCGGTGGCTTGTTGAGCTAAACTCGTGAGCTGGCTCGTTTAGAGCTCATGATATGTCTCAACATGTGGCTAGAGAGTCAACTCGATTACCGACTTATGGACGAATCAATCTATATCTTATGTTTTTAATTCATATGGTTGTTAAATTATATATTTCACCATATATAAAGTTTAAAACGTTGAGTATGTAAGCAAATATATCTTATTTTCTACTTTAAAAAAAATTATGTATCATAAATAGCTTCGTTACTATGAAATAACATGATGTGGAGTACTTAAAATTTATTAACTAAATGATATATGATACCAACAAAGTATAATATGATATTAGCTAACAAAATAAATCAACTGTATAATGATATATAAAATGAAGTACCAAATAAAAGTTAAGATTTTAGTAAACAAGTTAGCTCGAGCTCGACTCGTTAATAAACGACCTGAGCTCGAGCTCAACTCGTTTATTAACGAGCCGAGCTCAAACTGGGGTAAAACTCGACTCGGCTCGACTCATTTACAGCCCTACGTGGAGGGTGTTCCTCGTTATAAAAAAAATTTTGAACTGTGATTTCATATTCTCAACGATGAGAAATCAATTGGGCTTGGTGGTTTTCATTAGCATTCTTCTATATTTACTATTGTTTCACCCAAAAAAAGTCTCTTGCATAAATTCTACTTCCGTAATAAAAAAGTACAAAATCTATTTTCAGCTAATATGTGAAACTTTGTGTAGATCCATTGTTTTGTAGATGTAGACAAAAGATTTTTAAAAAAATGGCATTGAGTTAATATTTAGGTTTCGACAACATAAAACTTGTTGCATTATCTTTTCATATGCACTTAGATTATCCTACACGATACAGGTTGTGTTAACAAACTTGGAATGGGGTTGAATCTTAGATTGTGTGATTGGCTTTTTTCCAATGAATATAGATTTTATTACACGATCGCCAACAGTCTTGCTCAAATCACACCGCAATTTCAATCTCAAATTTCTTTGATCTATTGTTTTTTTTTTCTTTATATCTTTTGGTTGTCCTTGTTTTTCTTTGTCAGTTAGGTGGATAAATCCACATAACGAATTCTTGCACTGCATCAAAACATCTTCAACCACCCGAACTATATGCTTTGTAAGGTTATGGTAACATAATGTTACGTTTCAAAACCTCAAATTAAGCAAAGTAATATATAAATTATATTATAGAAAAAGACCATGATTCCAAGGAGACAGCAACCCAGCCTGCAAAACAAGGACAAGAAAGCAATATGCTCAACATAAGTCGATCCTTTTTTATTTGGCCAGTCGTCGCTGCTTGTCACACTACTGTTTATTATTTTATATTTGTAGTAAATTATTGTCCATCTAGCATAATAACAAAAAGCCACCACGACGTATTATCACGAACGATTAAAAAAATATTAACGAAATAGAAATAATGCACGAGAGTTTGTCTTTTTTTTTTTTTTTATGCACACTATGGATATATATATATGGACTCTCAAATATTTATATCCTTTTATAACCATCGTCACAATTTGCTTGATAATGTCGACGACGACGGCGACCCCATCGCCCGGGCAATTTCCCTGAGCACGAACTTCTGAATCTTTCCCGTCGACGTCTTCGGCAGCTCGTCCTTAAACACGACCGTTTTGGGCACCATGTAACGCGGCAGCGCCGCCCTGCAGTACTCAATTATGTCCTTCTCCGTCGTCATCGGCATCTTGTTTGATTCATGATCATACTCCTTCTTCAAGCTCACAAACGCACACGGCGTCTCCCCCCAGAATTCATCGGGTCGGGCCACCACCGCCGCCTCATTCACCGCCGGGTGCCCGTACAGCACGGACTCCACCTCCACGCTGCTCAAGTTCTCCCCGCCGCTGATGATGACGTCCTTCGACCTGTCCTTTATCTCCAAATACCCGTCCGGGTGCATCACCGCCACGTCACCCGTGTAAAACCACCCGTCCCCTTTCATGCACGCCGCCGTCGCCGCCGGGTCCTTTAAGTAACCGAGCATCACTGACGGGCCTCGCATGGCCACTTCCCCGACCGCTAACCCATCTGGTTTGACCTGTAACCCGGTTCCTGAGTCCAAAACCGCCACCTCGGTCATGGACACGGATCGAACCCCTTGCCTCGACTTCAGCCTGGCTCGCTCCGTCGCAGGAAATCGGTTCCATTCCTGCTTCCACGCACACGAGATGACCACACCAGCGGTCTCGGTCAGCCCGTACGCGTGGCTGACTACGAAGCCCAGTGACTCGGCCCGATGGAGAACCGGGGCCGGTGGTGGAGCCCCTGCGGTCAGCACCTGAACCGGGTGGCTCAACAGCTCTCGTTTGTTGGTTGGATTTGTGGATGAGGAGTTGGTCAGCAGCATGTTGAGAACCACGGGTGCGCCACACATGTGGGTGACCCCGTGGTTCTCGATCAGGGCAAAAATCGTCGCTCCGGTAAATTTACGGAGGCAGACGTTGGTCCCACCGACCGCAGCCATCCCCCACGTGTAAGACCACCCGTTCGCGTGGAACATGGGGAGGGTCCACAGGTAGACCGGGCAAGTCGGGACGGACCAATCGACCAGGGAGTTGAGCACCATTAGGAAAATGCCACGGTGGCAGTGGACCACACCTTTGGGAGCCGAGGTGGTCCCTGATGTATAATTCAAGACCATCGGGTCCCACTCGCTAACCGGTCGAACCCACTCGAACCCGGGGTCACCCTTGGTTACGAAATCTTCGTAAGTACCGATGAAATGACCGGCAGCAGGTAGTATGTGTGCCACGTCTTCGTCGTTGACCAGGACAAGACGAGGCCGCGGCTTGTCGGCAGGGAACATAGATATGGCTTCGAGGGCTAGAGACGCCGACCCGGCGTCGACGAAGAGGAGCTTGGACTCGGCGTGACGGAGAATCAGGGAGACGGTTCTGGCGTCGAGACGGGAGTTGACGGTGTTGAGCACGGCGCCGGCCATGGGGACGGCGAAGTGGAGCTCGTACATGGCGGGGGTGTTGGGGGAGAGGACGGAAACGACGTCGCCGCGTCGGATGGAGAGGGAGGAGATGGAGGAAGCGAGCTGGAGGCAGCGGCGGTGGGTGTGGGACCATGTGTAGGTGGTGGAGTTGTAGATGACGGAAGGGGAGTCGCCGTAGACGGTGGCCGCGCGCTCCAAGAACGTGAGCGGCGTTAGCGGAGAGGAGTTTGGGGGGCTTGGCTTCAGTTGCTCCATTTTTCGTTATCTGAATTGAGAAACTGGCGAGCAGAAGTAGTGGGATACTGGGATGAGTTTCATTCAATATATTTAGCGGCCGGACACACATTAATTTGACGTTAAGTGTTAGATGGATGCAGGTGCCGGACTGCCGGCCGCTGCATCTGACGTTAGTCAATGAGTGTTTTTTCAGGTTTTCGAGCAACCTTGTTCTATTAATAACCAATTAACCACATTGCACATACCCACCAAGGTGTCTCCAGCCAAACGACGATATTAATGTGGTTACTTACTGATAATGTTTGTTTGCCTAACATGTTTGGGGGATTTCATTGTCGTCGCTATGGATGTTAGGTTTTAGGTGTAGACTCAGGTGCGTAGCCAGGATTTTGTCGAGGGTGGGTCCATTTAGAAAAAATACATATGATAAAATAATTTTGTTAGCTTTCTAAATCGTTCATGATATAATTTTGTATTGCAAAACTTGGTAAATTAAATTATATGTCAAAACTATCAAGAATATCACCATATATGTATCAAACAATTATTTATGATTTAGTTAGATATTTGCTTTTGAATCGTGTTCTTCGTCAAGACCGTTTAGTATCATTAACTCGAGTTGTTAGGAAAGATTTAATAATGAATCTAATACTATTTAGTATTTACTAACACTTTCCTGCTTACTACAACCAACTTATGCGTGCTTAAAGTTTACGTAAATCCGAATATCATGTGTTTAACAAATGGGGTTACAAAGATTCGAACAAATGATATCTCGGTCAACCATTCTCAATTAGAAGTGCCCTAAATTTCATTCTCAATTAACTATTATACGTATTTACTCATTTTCGTCCTTAGGAAACACCTGCTACAATCTCCCTACCCCCTGATTGAAATAAAATTATTTTTACAAATGAATTATGATTTGGTGGAAATTTGTTGTAAATATTGAATACATACATCTTCAATTTTGGTCGAATCATATACATCATTATCATTTGTACATAGCTCGTTATAAATACATTGAATATGTCAACTAGGGGTGGCAATTTGGTCCCAGGCTGTTTAGTTTTACCCGAAACCGGACCGTATAACCCGGACCGGGACCGGACTGGGACCGGATAGCAAACAATGCAATCTCATATTTGGGCTTAGATTTGAGGTAAAAAAACCGGTTAAAGACCGGATAAGAGACCCCCACACCTAAAATCAAGATAAAATTGAGACCGGACGGGGTCAAGACCGGACCGGATCAAGACCGGACTGTATCCAATCCAATCTTTGGTCCTTATATTCCCGAAAAGACCGAACTGGGACCGGATCAATTTGGTCCAATTTAACCGGACCTGACCAGACCGTATAGCCACCCCTAATGTCAACGCTCGTTATAAATCATATATAAAATATTTCAAAGATCTATCAATTTCATTTAAATACATATTATTTTTCATACCCGATTAATTATTATACCTAATTGATCATTTTCTAACTCGAGCCAGAGTGGGTCCCGCGACCCACCTCTAACTCTCTCCCTCTGCCCTTGGTGTAGTAGCCGAATAGGAATATTTTTGGTCTAGGGGTTGTTTTTTATTTATATAATCAAACTTTAGGCTCTCGGTCAGAACTATCCTTCCTGACAAAACAATATAGAGATTCCTGCCCGCAGCGCATGTAATTTCTGTTTTCCTGCGCTCTGCGGAGTTCACGGGAGGCCAAATTGGTAAATGGCTCCGTTCCATTGAGACGGGCCGCGTAAAAATCAAAGCCCAATGCGAACTTAAAATGGCTCCGTTCCATTGAGATGGGCCGTGTAGAAATCAAAGCCCAATGCCATACGACACCATTTAAGTTATGAAAATTTGTGCGCATGTGCACATACTACATTTATAGGATGTGTTATGTAGTGAATTTGTCCCTCTTCCATAATACACCACTTAAAATAACGAGATAATTAAAAATTATTAGAAGAATATACTTTTAGTAAGGACACTTCTTTCATTTATGGGTTTATGCAACATATTAAAATGTTTACGAGAGTTTGTAAATTTAATTTACATAATAAATTGTTAAAATCAATGATTGTGAAACAGTACCGGAAGTTATATCGGAAAAGTTTGTAGTAAGATAGTTGTATTAAAATCATAATTGATCCACCACTTCGTACCGCCAAAACCACCTATAATTTGGAATTCGGTATTTCTGGTCTGACCTTCGAGTATAGTAGACTTTCTAAAACATTGGTTTAAAGTAATCAACCTTTTATTCAGGAGATACAACTTTTCATATGCCCACAATATATCATTTTCACAAATGTTGGTGATCCTCTCATCTTGATCGAAAAATCTATCTCTTAACATAATGGTAAAGGAGATATATTATTACTTTATTAGTGCATCTATTAGCTAATAAATTAATATTTGTTAATTAATGGATAACAAAATTCACAAATGAAAACCCTTCTCATTTGTTGCTACCTAGATGTTGATGAATCTACAAATTTTGGAACTATTGACTTCGAGTCAAGTGAAAATCATGTAATTTGAATATATGTATTTTTGTGTCTGTAATAAGTGAGGAGTTTCAAAAACAAAATGGTTTACAATCTTATTATTTTTGCAATAAAAGTGATGCATATGCACCATATCCTCTAACGAGAGTCAAAACTGAAACCCAACCACCAATCAATATCAAAACATTGCAAGAGCTCAATGAATTTGAACGAAGAATATAAAGGAGGTACATATAAGTTGCAATCTAAAGACTCATTAACAATAAAATGCTAACTCTTTTCTGCAGCCCGCCGTGTAAGAGTTCCCCCTTCTACTAAAAGTTAAAAATAAAATTTTCATAACCCTCCATTTGGCTAGCATTTTATAGTTTATATACGATAGCCATGAATGTATTATTGATTGCTGATAAAGTTTGGTGCTCTGTTAATAAAAAAAGTTATAGGTGCGTTGCGGTATTAATATGTACAAAGTTTTATACGCTATTCTAAATTATTATAATATTTAAAATTTTGATATCAATAATAAAATTTTGATATCAATAATAAAATTTGAGAAACAAATAATTTAAAAATAATAAAAAAATTATCACTTTAATTCCTTAAAATATGTGTAATAAATATGTTATATATGTCCAACCACGCAGCATACCATCTTACAGGTATTACTTTTGGTTTTAAAATTGCATGATTTAATTAAAGTTGTAAGTTTCAATTCAAGTAGAGAAAATGTAGTATGATGAAGACAACTCTATGAAGCAGAACTATTACTCAATTCAATAAGATTGTTGATAAATATGTTCATCTTAGTCATTTCCCATTTTACTTCTTTTTTTGTCTTTGTTTGTCCATTACTGTTATCATATTGCAACCGGCCAACGGGCGGGGTACAATCTAGTTAAAGAAGATAAATTATAAGGCTATGGTTAGAGAATGAGATTGTTGGAATGGATACATTTAATATATTGTTTACAAGTTGAGGTTTTTTTTTGTTTTTTATAAATAAAAAACCACACAATCCCACCTTGTTGTTGAGATTGATAACACTTCATTTTGATAAATAAGAAGGGTCCCATCAAAAAGTTATCTGTGGCTTAAAATAAAACAAAAAACTACTTATTCATAGTAATATAAGCATTGGTCAAATACATAATCTCTAATGAATTGTTTGGAAGTTGAGATTCTAGATATGTATTTCGAAGTTGCATGTACCGCTAATAATTTATAGTTTGTTGTCTTAAAATGAAACACAATAATGTATTTGAGTATAATATGAGACCACCAAAGTAATTTATTACGAGCGATTGTCAATCTCAACTAACCTGAGATTGTTTTGAGTGATTAGAGACTATTTTTTATTAGATCATTTTTTGAGAGACCACCAAAATTATTTGACCTCCAAACAATGTATTTTCTAAATTCACACATTGTTTCTTTTATTTGTCAAATCAAGTAGGTAATGGGATTGAATGTTAAAATAAAAGTTTAAAGCCAATGACCAAAAAAAAAGGAAAATGATTGAGTAGAAAACATGAAACATATAGATAAACTAACGTAACGTTTGGTATCAAATGAATCTAGAATTCATTTTATTTTAAAATGAATTACCGTGTAGAATTCATTGTCAAATGAATTCCTATATTTGGCATGTCATATTCAAATCTTTAAAAATAAAATGTATTAAATTTCCAAACCAAGTTTGACATACGTTTAGAATTGAATTAAATTAAAAGTTTTCAAGTACACCTTTATTAATTTCTGTCAGAAACAATTATCATTGAAAATCCATCTTCTAAAATACGCCTTTAATTGGACCCCTACGTAGAATATCAAAAGTGTTTTTGTGTTTTTCTATTCTATGCATTAGCTCTTTTATAATATCTCATTGATGAACCCTTTTGTGGCTTCTCAACGTACTGATACAATCAAAGCATAAATATAAAATAATCAGCATATGCTACTATAGCGTTGTGATCAAATTCTTGTCGACGTTCCTCATACTGCATGAATTGGCACCAAATAATATATGTAAAAGTAATTTAGTTAATAAATGAGGATAATTATGTAATTCTATTATAATTAGTAAATATTTGTGGAATTCATTTGGAAATTCCATATCAATTCCTTGGAATTACTATAACTAGTTTCAATTCCGTAGAATTCAAAATTTAGAATTGAAAAAAAAATTCTTTCAAATACCAACACATAAATTTTTCATTTCAAAATAAATTCTTCAAAACTTATAGAGTTCATTTATACAAAACAGTATGTAAGTGACCAAACATACAAGTCACCCATTAAATATGCTTTGAATTATTTGTTCTGTACAACTTCGGATATGGTTTCAACGTGGGGAATTGCATGTGGAAACCAAGATGTAAAAAAGACCTACAATTTGGGTATTGCACAAATCAAATTTCTTATGAGGAAAATTGTATTTGGATGATATCACTTTTGGGACAAGTTTTTTAGTTTGAGTATAAATTATACTCATTATATTGGGTAAAAAAAAAATCCAACTCTAATGTGATTTTTACTTTTTTCTAAAGCAAACATAAATGTACAAACACGAGTACTAAATGTGTGACGAATAGTAAAATCAGTGGCGGATCCAGAAATTTTTTATAGGGGTGTCCTTTTTAAAAAAATAAAAAATAAAATAAAAAATTCATAAATAAGAAAATACATGACTAGTACAAATTTTAACAAAAGGCCACGACATGTTTTCATATTCTGAAAAATAATATAAAATATACTCGACGTCTTCACTGCTCAACAAATCTATATATCATACTAGACAATAATATACGAACTGATCTCATATTCGAATTTTAACATTGTTCTTTATGTATCTCAAAGTTGAAAGACTCTTTTAACTCTTATTGTGTAACTATAAAATCAATTCAAATTAAGGATAACCCACAATTAGTTTAGTTGTTAGATCTTGAAAATAGTTGGGGATAAGCAATAATGTTTTTACTATTTCTTAGTGTTTAAATAGAACAAGAAATGAGTTGCAACCTAAAGAATATGTTTAATAATAGTAGTGTCCTAAGTTTGAATAACACAAACTACCATTTATAATTCTTTAATCTTACACAAACTACTATCGAGAGTAGTATAATCATTTTTTCAAATTTAAGGGTGTCCCGGATTACCAATTATAATTTTTTCTTCATACGAAACTACAGCCGGGGGTTGGATAATCGTTCTTCCAAATTTTAGGGGTGTCCCGGGACACCCCTAAATGTCCATGTATCCGCCACTGAGTAAAATGATCAATATTATATTTCGTATGCATAATATTTATATAATCTGAATAGATCTATTTGAATCCGACTCGTATGAGTTGACAAAAATTGAACTTAATTTATATCAAACCACAAATTATAAATATTGCATGAGTGTCAACTCAATATGAGTCATGATAATTGACTTAGAATTATAATCGAGTAATCGACCCATCCTAGCCCGTCAGAACTCAGAAGCACTCGTATTCACAAAAGAAAAAAGAATTGGGCTCCATATTATTATTGGGTAAACAATGGCCCGTTACCAGGAGGATAGACTGGAAACAACTCAAAACGTGGCAGGCCTCAGAAATCGTCGGCCCAACCTCCGATTTCTACAGGTAAAGTTTCCATCCCCTACGCAGTGCTGGGGCATAGCATTTTTTTCAGAGCTCTGCTTCTTAGCAGTTGAGCTCCTAAAACCCTGCCAATGGGTCCTCTCCACAGAGCTTCGAAAACCCTCAAATCACTCAGACACCAATTTTTGCTGCACGCGACTCAGCAATTCGATTCATCTTCGCGCCTCTCGGGTTCAAGTGATTACCGGGTGGTGCTGACAAGAGCGCTATGCTCCCACCCCCGCCAGAACGCCAAAGAAGCCGTGGATTTGACCCAGTACCCGCCGGAGAGAATTCGAAACTTCTCCATCATCGCCCACGTCGACCATGGCAAGTCGACGCTCGCTGACCGTTTGTTGGAGCTCACCGGCACCATCAAAAGAGGCCATGGCCAGCCTCAGTATCTCGATAAATTACAGGTTCGTTCCCGCATTTCGTCGGTGGCCTAGCTTCAGGCTTTCTCTTAGCATCTCTTAGGTTATTGAAAATTTGGAAACTTTGGAATTGTAGATGATGAAAACTTGAATTGGCTTAGGTAGAGAGAGAAAGGGGGATCACGGTGAAAGCTCAGACAGCGACGATGTTCCACAAGTACAATCTCCAAGGCTCGAGCTTGGATGGTTCAAATGAGCCGCAGCCGTTTCTTCTGAATTTAATTGACACGCCTGGTCATGTGGATTTTAGCTATGAAGTTTCGAGATCATTAGCAGCTTGCCAAGGCGCCCTTTTGGTGGTTGATGCAGCCCAAGGTGTGCAGGCACAGACAGTGGCTAACTTCTATCTCGCATTTGAATCTAACCTCACAATTATCCCTGTCATTAACAAGATAGACCAGCCAACAGCTGATCCTGATCGAATTAAAGATCAACTGAAGTCGATGTTTGATCTTGAGCCGTCTGATTGTCTTCTAACCTCGGCCAAAACAGGACAGGGGCTTGAACATGTCCTGCCAGCCGTCATTGAGAGGATACCTCCTCCACCTGGGGAAGGGAATAGGCTGTTGCGCATGCTCTTGCTGGATTCCTATTATGATGAGTACAAAGGAGTGATCTGCCATGTGGCGGTTGTGGATGGGATGTTGAGGAAGGGGGATAAGATATCAGCTGCTGCCACAGGTCAAACCTATGATGTTCTGGATGTAGGTTTCATGCATCCTGAACTCACTCAAACTGGGGTGCTTCTAACTGGACAAGTGGGGTATGTTGTGACTGGAATGAGGTCGACTAAGGAAGCACGTATTGGAGACACTTTGTTTCACGCCAAAACCATTGTAAAGCCTCTTCCTGGTATGTAAAATCTACTATCCTTAGGGCTTGGTTGCCTTTATTTAAATTGGATACTCTTGATAGTGACATCTTTGGAAAAAGGATCTTCGAACCTTAAAAGGCCAATGTTAGTTTGTTTGTGTCTGGATAGTTTATGCCATACCTGATGTTTCAGAGAGTTAAACCTTTATCTGTCCAGAATATTTGTGCTATGTGGTATACTACTCTTGATTTGCAATTGAATCGGGATTGAAGATTGGAAGCACATTTCAAATAGTTCTTAGATGTTGTATATGGTTATATTAAGCAGGTGAAAAAGGAGGTTCACCGACCTTCAGTGGCATGAATTGCTTTACAACTCTACATTGGACATAAAGCTTTGCAATTTGCTTAAGTAATTAACTGCTATGATGCATGTACATGATGTTTACCATAGCAAACACTTACGGAAATCTTTAAATTAACGCTTTAATGAAATATTGTTCTAAGCTCTTTATCTTTGTCACTGGCTCACAAGAAACATCAGATGCATGTGTAGGTATATATCGTCCTTTTGGTTTCTGCTTCTAATATTTTTGTTGCTCTTTTCATGCTTCTTTGAATTGTAGGCTTCAAGGCTGCAAAACACATGGTGTTCTCTGGTCTCTTTCCGGCCGATGGATCTGACTTTGAGGCACTCAACCATGCAATAGAGAGGCTGACATGTAACGATGCCAGTGTCTCTGTTACTAAAGAGAGTAGCACTGCTCTTGGTCTGGGTTTTAGGTGTGGCTTCAAAACCATCCTTTTGTTTGCGCTTGAATTTACTTAAGTCAGTATGTAGTTACATTTTTCAGTGGCACTTTGTCGACAGATGTGGGTTTTTGGGTTTACTTCACATGGATGTTTTTCATCAGCGGCTTGAACAAGTAACTTTTCATCTTTCTTTGCCGCATTTGGTAGCTGAATTATGGTATGTGTCACTGGATTTATTGACAATTCATCACTTCACAGGAATATGGAACTCATATTATTTCCACTGTCCCAACTGTTCCATATATCTTCGAATATTCTGATGGAAGGTATTACTTGTGATCATTATAATTTGAGATTTGTGCCTCAAAGTTAATCATCATCCAATAATTTGTGTTGTTGCCTTTACTAGCAAAGTGGAAGTTCAAAACCCTGCTGCTTTGCCCTCAAACTCAAAGCAGCGAGTTACAGCTAGTTGGGAACCTACAGTATTAGCCACGATTATTATCCCTAGTGAGTAAGCCCCCTCCACTCTTGCTTCAGCAGATGGTGAGCACACGTATTATAATTCATCCATGTAGTTCCTCATAGGGCTGGTCTTGACCATGCAGGTATGTTGGACCGGTTATTACCTTGTGCTCGGAAAGAAGAGGGCAGCAATTGGAGTACTCATTCATTGATAGGTAATCTATGTTGAATGTCTTTTCCTTTAACTATTCAAACGATCAACTGGTTAATTTGATCAAGGACTTAGTTTTATATGGCAAGTCATATTTTCTGTTCTTGATTGAATCAATCGTGGCAGCCAACGTGCCTTTATGAAATACCGCTTGCCTTTGAGAGAAATAGTTGTCGATTTCTACAATGAATTGAAGAGTATAACATCAGGATACGCGTCATTCGACTACGAAGATTTAGAGTATGTATTGATTCTCTCTCCTTTTACCTTTAGAGGTTTACATACATGCTGGTCATTATTTATGGAAAAGCTCAAACAAACATGACCCTCAGAGTCAGATGACATATAACTGGTAGGTTAACCTCAGCTGCTATTGTGTGAAAATCATAATAGTAGTAGATTGCCTTTGTCGAATGACTGCTTTTATGTACTCTTCATTAGACATCTCCTGGTAGGAATTTTACTTCTCTTTACATCACATCAAATCGAGATGGATTAGACAATTGGAATGTTTCATGAACACTTGGGGAATAGCTTTTGTTAAGAAGACTGATTGATGTGTGCCATTAACAGATACCAACAAGCCGATTTGGTGAAACTTGATATTCTCCTAAATGGTCAGGCAGTTGATGCCATGGCAACAATTGTTCACAACTTGAAGGCACAACGGATGGGCCGTGAACTGGTGGATAAGTTGAAGAAATTCATAGATAGGTGATGTACTCTTTTGAACCCAAGTTGTCCATCTCTTTATTCAGCCTTTTTTTTCCTATTCCTTTTCAGACGATATTGTATGGTTTTAATTTGAGCAGGCAAATGTTCGAGATAATCATACAAGCAGCAATTGGGTCAAAGGTTGTTGCTAGAGAGACGTAAGTTAATTAGACGACTCTTGTGAAGAGATATTATTCCGTATAGGAGCAATGCAGTATCTTATCAATGTGAGAATGTGCTTTGGCACAGGATCTCAGCTATGAGGAAGAATGTTCTAGCAAAGTGTTATGGTGGGGACATTACTCGGAAGAGGAAGCTACTGGAAAAACAGAAGGAAGGAAAGAAGAGAATGAAGCGAGTTGGGTCAGTTGACATACCTCAAGAGGCTTTCCATCAACTATTGAAGGTGTCATAGGGAAAAGCAAGCAAGAACGAGATCCTCTCCTGAAATATTTCCAGCTGGTAAGTCCATCAAGGTCGATATGTCTTGGGGTTTGCTAGGACAATCCTCGAAGTGGATACTAGGATGCTAATAGTTTTTCATACGCGATCGACAGGAAGGAAAGCAGGCCTGCAATGCATCTGTGTGATGCGAATGATTACCGGAGAATGTTACAGCAGAAGCGAAATAGCCCCTGAACTTGTATGGGAGTTAGTTTGTCTGGTTTTGCGTAAGGAAGTGTCACTTGTGAGAGTTGGCTATGATCCAGAGCGAGGTGCTGGGGACTTGGGTGAACTTTGAAAACGAATTGATGTAGGTGTGAGGGACATGTATTAGCGTCAAGTACAACAAAACTTGGGCACAGTTGGTCATAAATAGTGTTGGAAAAATCAAACAACATACATAGATGAAATGCGCAGTTGATAGCTTGTATTATTCATCTCTGCGCCGGGTAATTTTCTGTAAGATGAATGCGAGGAATTCGTGATCTATGGTATTACGAAGCAAACTTTTTCAAGCATTGTCGATCACGAATTGTTTCCTCTGCTTGTGGATGAAGTAAGCTAGCAGACATAATTCCTTGTATCGATTATCAATTGAGGGCTCCTCTGTTGTGTTCTGACTGGGGAATACGTGGTGTTCCCAAGTTCCACATATCCGGACACTTGACACCACTTCACCGTCGTCTTCTTCCAAAATTCCAAGATAAAGAAGGTGCTAAACGTAAGGATGTCCGCGTTTGGGTCCTGCCTAGCGCATAACATGTTTAGACAACGTCTAGATATGCGTTTGAAGTAAATAAACATTTTTTTAACAAAAATAATCATTTTATAACACTTTGGTAACTAGTTTCAAATGATTTATAATTTAACTAGTCTTTAACAAAAAAAAATGTCATAAACTCCAATAATCACAAAAGTTTCTACAATAAGTTAGAAACACTACTACACAAGTTCACAGCAAACATTTATTTTTATCTTATATATATAAAAACTAGGTACACTTTTTTTGTCTTTTGACTTGCCATCTTATCCCATCCCTCACACACACTCGTATAAAAGAAAAAGGTCTTTATTATTTGGTCAAAGGTATTGTATGTATAACTACTATTAACTAGGGGAGATTGCTTTGTTTAACCGAATCGAACCAGAAATAAAATCGAGTAAAATAATTTCCTTAAAAATTAACTGTTAAGAGGTTTAAACGGTTCAATTTGATTTCAAGAAAATGAAACCCGAGGCTTAATTGAATATTGAGTGTTTGTTTATTGGCTGGATTTTATTTTAATTTTAATCAGTTTTTCAATTTTGACCAAACAAAAAACGATAAGCACAAAGAGTTTGGGACTGAAACCAAAAAACGATAAGAGTACCTTATCTGGTCATTTAGTTGAAATAAAAAAAAAATTGAATCCAAACTGATAGTCCTATGTATGGCACACTTTGCCATCTTTCATTTTGATCTTCAGATTATCCAAAATCTCAATTAATATATTTTTTCATTGTTGCTATGAGGGAAGTAGACATTGATGATGAATTCATTTTCTTTTTACTACACATTAGGTCAGGTGTCACCTACTTTCAGGAAAGCCCTTTGTGTGGTTGGGTACTTGGGTTTAACCATTGAAAATTAATAATAGGATACTACAGACAGAGGAGAGATTCAAGTTCCTTAGATTTGATGAAAATGTAGTAAAGAATTAACTGAAATTTAGTGAGGATGAAAATGTTTGTCATCTTACCACATCCCTCACATACACTCAAACATATTAAAAGAATTTTTTTATTTGATCAAAGCTATTATATGTAATGTATGACTAGGATGGGAGATTGCTTTGTATAACCAAATCGAACTGGAAAAAAAATTGAACAAGTAATTTCCTTAAAAATGAACTATTAAGAGGCTTAAACGGTTCAATTTGATTTCAAGAAAATGAAACCCGAATAACTTTAATAATGAGGAAAATTCATATGCTAATATACGTTGCTCATTGTACACATCTTACTTTCTTTTTCTCATTTACAATGTGGTCTTATTGGTGGTTGTTGGTTATGAAACTTAGTGCTTTATATTGCTTTGGATTTGGTCAAACTTGTTCCAATGTTGAATTGTTAAGTTTTGCTACATATATAGGTGACTGCTACAATTCTATCATTTTGCTTCCATCTTTACTTGAACGGATTTGTGTATCCAACGAGTTAACTGGTTGATAGAACTTGGATCTAACAAATTATATTATGAATGTTCTTTATTTTTTGCTTTTGTTAGTGAATTAGAGGCGAGGTGTTGTAAATGTTAGGCTTATGAATAATAATCATATGTATGCTCACTCTTAGTGTTGAATTCGCTTACCATATGGATATGCAATCGCTCCATGTAGTAGTTAATTTATTGTATGTTTCATGATTCAAGTCAAGGTTGTGCTCGATCGATAACCTTCTAACTCTCTTCCTCACTCACAACAAGTTGAATGTTATTATTTAAGGAATTTTTTTAATTTTACCCATTTTCTCCAAGAGTTTTTATGATATGAGTTCTGATGGTTAGGCTTAGCTTTCCTATTTATGCATTGTTCACTCAATACAAAAACTTAATAAATATGTCCATTCATTATACTATTGATTAGGTAAGCTAAGTATTGTTGGAATTCATCGCCAATTACAAAAATGGCTAATAATATTATGGATGTCGAAAGAGATATGAGGTATCAATATCTATTTCACTCCCCATTTAGCGAGAAAGGCCAGCTAGATAACAAGCAAATAAGAGTTTATTGTTCCCAGTTTGTTTGGAACTACCAAGGTTCTAATAAAACATGATGATTGTTTCACACTTATGCCATGTAAATGTAGAACAAGCTTTTTATCAAGGGTTAATACCTTATTTTGGCCTGAACTATGACCATATAATCAACTTTGGCCCGTGGTTTCAGAAATTAACATCCTGGCCTCAACTATGCAGCATATAGACTCAATTGGCCTGACACATGGTTTGACCGTCAATTTGGATGGTCAACACCATTGACCGTTAGTCAACACGCCATATCATTGCCACGTCAGCCTACAAATTATTAAAAAAATCAAATTCAAATGATTTTCCTAATTTCTATTATTTATCATTTTCAAATTAACAAAAAATAATTTATAAAAACATAAAAATAATTTTATTTTTTATTTTTTGTGTAATTTGAAAATGATTAATTTTATAAATTAACCAAAAATTATCAAATTATTTTATATATTTAACGTTGAAAAAATTATCAAATTATTTTATATATTTAACATTACCCAAAAATGAAATATTTAATTTATATAATATTTTATAAATTTATAAAATTTAGTTTGATAATTTTTGGTTAGCTTATAAAATTTATCATTTTCAAAGTGAGAGAGCACGGGGAAAAGTATTTAGGGTTTTGGGTGATTATATGGAAATTTATATTTTAAAAGTAGTAATTAGGTGTGGTTATTATTTTTGTTCCAAAATTATCCCTAATTAATCCTGACGGTCAATTACAAAATGATGAAAATAAAGGATGGAGATATAGGTAGCCACCGTGGCTACTAAAAAACTAGTAACCATGCTAACGCATTCCAAATCTTGGTTGTAGTGATGCTTCCCACTTCTTCTTCTTTTCAATCCCTCTATATATTTCTCCTGTGGATAGATTCGACTAAGGAAGGCTGGAGAGTGCCGGATAGTAGAGGATTAGCGGATCCGTTGGAGAATGAAGGAGTTGTGCAGAGGCGACATTCTGGGACCAGGTACTATCTATCTTTGTATGTATTTTTTGTGACCATTCTTTCATTCTTGTTTCTTAAATTTAAATTCATGAATAGTGATGGTATTCCATAAATTGTTAACGTGTCTCTAGAGCGTAAGCAGGGAGTTGGTGCTTTCACTTTCTTTATGAATTGGTGGAGGTGGAATCTCATACTCTGCTCTTTGCCTCTTTCGAGTGGCCAGTCGGCGCACATTTAAATATATAGAACCCGCCGTGTTTCCTTTCCGGTTTTCACATCCAGTGTCCTCTCTAGAGCCTATTTTTATCGGCATTCAACGTTCCAATAATTTTTGTCTCCCCTTGAATTGATGTCAGGACAGCATGATGGCGATTGTCGAAAGGTAATTTAAATGAAATTACAATGTATATAATCGGACACTCAGCTATCTATTATATTAATTTTGTGCCTATAAGGTGGTTTCTAAGTTTCAGATGTTATTTATTGAAATAATATTATTTACGGTGTTTTTAGAAGTTCTGGGTACCAAAATGTAATTAAAAGTAAGAAAAAAATTCGAAAGGCCGTTTTGCTTAGATTTTGAAGGCTACAGATCACGGATTCAGCCCGAGGCTATTAAACATCGATTCGTTGGGAAAATTTCGGGGGCAATTTTTTCCGGATTCCAAAGGGGTACCATCACCGATTTCGGGCGATTTTTTGGAAAGTCAATTTTCCTTGGATTTTGAAGGCGATGGATCACAGATTCGGCCTTAGGGTACTCTCCACCAACGATGAAGTCTAGTAGTGGCCAATTTGGGCGGAAATTTGGTCGAATCATTCTGGAGGGCATTTTCGTAAATTTTAGGCGATTTTTTCGAAAGGCCGTTTTGCTTAGATTTTGAAGGCTACAGATCACGGATTCAGCCCGAGGCTATTAAACATCGATTCGTTGGGAAAATTTCGGGGGCAATTTTTTCCGGATTCCAAAGGGGTACCATCACCGATTTCGGGCGATTTTTTGGAAAGTCAATTTTCCTTGGATTTTGAAGGCGATGGATCACAGATTCGGCCTTAGGGTACTCTCCACCAACGATGAAGTCTAGTAATGGCCGATTTGGGCGGAAATTTGGTCGAATCATTCCGGAGGGCATTTTCGTAATTTTTAGGCGATTTTTTCGAAAGGCCGTTTTGCTTAGATTTTGAAGGCTACAGATCACGGATTCAGCCCGAGGCTATTCTTTAGGGATGAATAAGTCTATTAAACATCGATTCGTTGGGAAAATTTCGGGGGCAATTTTTTCCGGATTCCAAAGGGGTACCATCACCGATTTCGGGCGATTTTTTGGAAAGTCAATTTTCCTTGGATTTTGAAGGCGATGGATCACAGATTCGGCCTTAGGGTACTCTCCACCAACGATGAAGTCTAGTAATGGCCAATTTGGGCGGAAATTTGGTCGAATCATTCTGGAGGGCATTTTCGTAAATTTTAGGCAATTTTTTCGAAAGGCCGTTTTGCTTAGATTTTGAAGGCTACAGATCACGGATTCAGCCCGAGGCTATTAAACATCGATTCGTTGGGAAAATTTCGGGGGCAATTTTTTCCGGATTCCAAAGGGGTACCATCACCGATTTCGGGCGATTTTTTGGAAAGTCAATTTTCCTTGGATTTTGAAGGCGATGGATCACAGATTCGGCCTTAGGGTACTCTCCACCAACGATGAAGTCTAGTAATGGCCGATTTGGGCGGAAATTTGGTCGAATCATTCCGGAGGGCATTTTCGTAATTTTTAGGCGATTTTTTCGAAAGGCCGTTTTGCTTAGATTTTGAAGGCTACAGATCGCGGTTTTAGCCCGAGGCTATTCTTTAGGGATGAATAAGTCTATTAAACATCGATTCGTTGGGAAAATTTCGGGGGCAATTTTTTCCGGTTTCCAAAGGGGTACCATCACCGATTTCGGGCGATTTTTTGGAAAGTCAATTTTCCTTGGATTTTGAAGGCGATGGATCACAGATTCGGCCTTAGGGTACTCTCCACCAACGATGAAGTCTAGTAATGGCCAATTTGGGCGGAAATTTGGTCGAATCATTCTGGAGGGCATTTTCGTA